TGGGTCTGTGTGGTCAGTGTGCACCATATAAAAAAAATCCTGGAGCATGCAGTGCATAATGAGAAAAAAAAAACTCCGATCGTTTTTTTTAATTAAAATGCCGACTTTGTGGTCTATTTTCGTATAGTATTTATGGTTGTATTCTCGTTTTCTTGGTCTCATTTGATAGAATGGAAAATATATTATAGAAATAGACGTGATTTTGATTGATTTTACTATAAAAAGAACCTAGAAATGGAGCTCAAATTAGGGGAAATGTTTGATTTTTGCCAATGTTCAAAAGTAAACAAATGATGCCATTGTCCAATAAATGTCCAACTAGCCATTCTAATATGCAGTCATGAATGGGTTGATGTTATTTATACAATTATTACAGTATTGCAGCAGTCTGCATAATAGTAAGTCTTCTATTTTTTGTTTGAATAAAAATTCAAAATAGAAAGCAAGAGTAATATCAGAGGAGCCTGGAGACATGACTGATGAACAAAGAAAATGTTATTTTAGAGCCAGGAATGTCTGCATTGTTCATTCTGGACCATACTTTGAAATTGTCATATTTTTTAGTTTTCGTGAAATTGGCCAAATTGCAAATTTCTGACCACATTATTAGGTAGTTGAAATCGGTAAATGGGCAGTTTCTTGTACTCAATCGATAGAAAAAATGGAGTTCTAAAGAAATAGCTATGAGGTTGGGCGACTGGAACAATGAAATTAGCCGAAAATAGGGCTCAAAGTGGGCGAAATCGCCGATTTGTAAACAGTGCCGAGGTCGCTAACTTCGCGAGAGCATAATTCCGTCAGTTTTCCATCAAATTTCGTTTTTTTGGTGTCATTACAATCGGAAAAAGATTCTCTATCATTTCATAAGAAAAAATAATTTTTTTTTTAAATTTTGCGACACCAGGAGACACCTCAGGATTGGGGGTTGCGACAGTCAAAGGGTTAATAACTTACCACCTATTCCATATACTTGCAACATCTGCCACATTGCTCCTCTATCCACTCTATCATATGCCTTTTCTAAATCCATAAATGCAATAAAAACTTCCCTACCTTTATCTAAATACTGTTCACATATATGCTTCAATGTAAACACTTGATCTACACATCCCCTACCCACTCTGAAACCTCCTTGCTCATCCGCAATCCTACATTCTGTCTTACCTCTAATTCTTTCAATTATAACCCTACCGTACACTTTTCCTGGTATACTCAGTAAACTTATTCCTCTATAATTTTTACAGTCTCTTTTGTCCCCTTTCCCTTTATATAAAGGGACTATACATGCTCTCTGCCAATCCCTAGGTACCTTCCCCTCTTTCATACATTTATTAAACAAAAGTACCAACCACTCCAACACTATATCCTCCCTGCTTTTAACATTTCTGTCATGATCCCATCAGTTCCAGCTGCTTTACCCCCTTTCATTTTACGTAATGCCTCACGTACCTCCCCCTCACTTACATTCTGCTCTTCTTCACTCCTAAAAGATGGTATACCTCCCTGACCAGTGCATGAAATTACTGCCTCTGTTTCTTCCTTAACATTTAAAAGTTCCTCAAAATATTCTCGCCATCTACCTAATACCTCCATCTCCCCGTCTACTAACTCCCCTACTCTGTTTTTAACTGACAAATCCATACTTTCCCTAGGCTTTCTTAACTTGTTTAACTCACTCCAAAATTTTTTCTTATTTTCATTAAAATTTCTTGACAGTGCCTCTCCCACTCTATCATCTGCTCTCCTTTTGCACTCTCACCACTCTCTTTACCTTTCTTTTACTCTCCATATACTCTGCTCTTCTTATAACACTTCTGCTTTGTAAAAACCTCTCATAAGCTACCTTTTTCTCTTTTATCACACCCTTTACTTCATCATTCCACCAATCACTCCTCTTTCCTCCTGCCCCCACCCTCCTATAACCACAAACTTCTGCCCCACATTCTAATACTGCATTTTTAAAACTATTCCAACCCTCTTCAACCCCCCCACTACTCATCTTTGCACTAGACCACCTTTCTGCCAATAGTCGCTTATATCTCACCCGAACTTCCTCCTCCCTTAGTTTATACACTTTCACCTCCCTCTTACTTGTTGTTGCCACCTTCCTCTTTTCCCATCTACCTCTTACTCTAACTGTAGCTACAACTAAATAATGATCCAATATATCAGTTGCCCCTCTATAAACACGTACATATAGATATAAATATGTACATGTACATATAGATATGTACATATAGATATAAATCCAAATGTACACCTGTTAACCCTTTTGGGGCCTAGTTCCTAGGCCTATTGTGCATTCAAATGCTCTTGTACTACAGTCCACAAAATTCAAAATTCAAATTCAAAGTTTATTCTCTATAAGGATTACAATGCTGAGTTTACAGAATTTGGTTATTGTGTGGTTTACATGTAGTAAAATAATAATTACAGAGTGTACCACTAGAACACCTAGCATGGCTAGGCATTTCGGGCAGACTTACATTAATTCTTAAATTTAAAATATTACAAATTATGAGGTAAGTTGGTATTATGGCTAAGTGACTAAATACTACTTTGTGAGTTTAGCAATGTGAATGCTTTTGTTTTGACACAATACATAGTTTCGGTATTGCAGTATCACAGGCCAACTTATGACTAGTTAGGATTCATTATTTTAAGAATGAGATTGATATTTCTGTTTATGGTCAAATGGATATGGATATCGGGGGCACAATAAACTAGCCACTTCTGTGGCAAAATCTAATCTAAACCATAAGCAAGACTTTACATTTCACACATGAGCAAAGTCTTGTTTCTGACCCCTTCCCTGGTGTGTGTGGGGGGGACCTTACCCCTCCCATGGTGTGTGTGTGGGTTGGGGGACCTTACCCCTCTCCTGGTGTGTGTGGGTAGGGGGACCTTACCTCTCCCCTGGTGTGTGTGTGTGTGTGTGTGTGTGTGGGTTGGGGGACCTTACCCCTCTCCTCGTGTGTGTGGGTAGGGGGACCTTACCTCTCCCTTGGTGTGTGTGTGTGGGTTGGGGGACCTTACCCCTCCCTTGGTGTGTGGGGGGACCTAACCCTTCCCCTGGTGTGTGGGGGTAGGGGGACCTTACCCCTCCCCTGGTGTGTGTGGGGGACCTAACCCTTCCCCTGGTGTGTGTGTGGGTGGGGGGACCTTACCCATCCCCTGGTGTATGTGTGGGGGTGGGGGGACCTTACCCCTCCCCTGGTGTGTGTGGGGGACCTCACCCTTCCCCTGGTGTGTGTGTGTGGGTGGGGGAACCTTACCCCTCCACTGATGTCTGTGTGGGTGGGGAACCTTACCCCTCCCCTGGTGTGTGTGTGGGTGGGGGACCTTACCCCTCCCCTGATGTTTGTGTGTGGGTGGGCGACCTTACCCCTCCCCTGGTGTGTGTGTGGGTGGGTGGACCTTACTCCTCCCCTGGTGTGTGTGTGTGTGTGTGGGTGAGGGGACCTTACCCCTCCCCTGGTGTGTGTGTGGGGGTTGGGGGACCTTACCCCCTCCCCTGGTGTGTGTCTTTGTGGGCAGGGGGACCTTACCCCTCCCCTGGTGTGTGTGGGTGGGGGGACCTTACCCCTCCCCTGGTGTGTGTGTGGGTGGGTGTACCTTACCCCTCCTTGGTGTGCATGTGTGTGTGGGTGTAACTTACCCCTCCCCTGGTGTGTGTGTGTGTGTGGACCTTACCCCTCCCCTGGGGTGTGTGTGTGTGGGTGTACCTTACCCCTCTCCTGGTGTGTGGGTGGGTGGACCTTACCCCTCTCCTGGTGTGTGTAGGTGGGTGGACCTTACCCTCTCCTGGTGTGTGGGTGGGTGGACCTTACCCCACTCCTGGTGTGTGTAGGTGGGTGGACCTTACCCCTCTCCTGGTGTGTGTGGGTGGGTGGACCTTACCTTGCTATTACAACACACACTAAATCAGAGGTTAGTTGTTGCTAGCATGACTGGTGTGGGGCAGGAGTTTTTTTTATACTACACCCCCCCCCCTCACACACAGGAGAGATAGAGGGGACATGATAATGGCACACAAAATAATGAGAGGAATTGATGAGATGGACAAAGACCAGATGTTCCAGAGATGGGATAGAGTAACAAGTGGCCACAATTGGAAGTTGAAGACTCAGATGAATCACAGGGATATTAGGAAGTGTTTCTTCAGTCACAGAGTTGTCAGGAAGTGGAATAGTCTGGGAAGTGATGTAGTGGAGGCAGGATCCATACATAGTTTTAAGAAGATGTATGATAAAGCTCATGAAGCAAGAAGAGTGACCTAGTAGTGACCAGTAAAGAGGCAGGGCCAGGAGCCATGACTTGACCCCTGCAACCACAACTAGGTGAGTACACACACACATGCATGTGCACACATGCACGTATGCATGCACGCACGCGCGAACACGTACACTCACTCACTCTCTCTCACATTTAGGTTAAAATCCATTGGTCACGGCATGTTTGAGGGTACACGATTAATACACACATTTACTGTACTGACAATGATCACACTGACCTAACTGTAAGAGCTAATGTTGCATACCTAGTATATAGTTGTTAATGGTTTATACCTGGTGTAGTAGTGTATACCTGGTATAGTAGTGTATACCTGGCATAGTAGTTAATGGTGTATACCTGGTATAGTAGTGTATACTTGGTGTAGTAGTTTTTTATTTTGTTATTTATTTATTATTAATTTGGACATGATACATAGATGTACAAAGAAATACAGTGGTTAAGTGTAACATGCCAAAAGCCCCTTGTATGCAGAGCATTATGGGCAGACTTAAAATTAACTTAAGATTAACTAAGCAATGATATATTCAGCGGAAAAAAATTATAGTGAACAAATTACAATTAAGCACAAATGAGTATTTCAGTTAATGCTATGTACCTGGTATAGCAGCTAATGGTGTATACATACAGTACAGTATATATACAGTATACATTACATTACTTAAAGTTACATTTAAGTTTGTAAGATACAGAGAGGAGAAACTTACCTCTAAGGCTTTAAGATAAGCAAGATAGTTATCATAATGTTCACGTGAAGCAAAGTGAGCTTTAGTGTCCCTGATGCAACGAATTGGTTTAGTGTTGCACAACCTGCAGTAGTAGTCTGACTTCCTGTATATGTAGTTATAACCTGAAACATAAGCAAGATAACAATGTGTTAGGATGTGTTGCTTGTCAGTGGAACACAAGACTGTGTCAACACATATCTGTGGCAAGACTGTGTCAACATACATCTGTAGCAAGACTGTGTTAACATACATCTGTGGCAAGACATAAGACTGACAGTAGTACCTCAAGGTACAAGAGGGAACAACTTACCTCAGGGTACAAGAGGGAACAACTTGCCTCAGGGTACAAGAGAGAACAACTTACCTTAGGGTACAAGAGGGAACAACTTACCTCAGGGTACAAGAGGGAACAACTTGCCTCAGGATACAAGAGGGAACAACTTACCTCAGGGTACAAGAGGGAACAACTTACCTCAGGGTACAAGAGAGAACAATTTACCTTAGGGTACAAGAGGAAACAACTTACCTCAGGGTACAAGAGGGAACAACTTGCCTCAGGATACAAGAGGGAAGACCTTGCCTCAGGGTACAAGAGGGAACAACTTGCCTCAGGGTACAAGAGGGAACAACTTGCCTCAGGCAACAAGAGGGAACAACTTACCTCAGGGTACAAGAGGAAACAACTTACCTCAGGGTACAAGAGGGAACAACTTACCTCAGGGTACAAGAGAGAACAATTTACCTCAGGTTACAAGAGAGAACAATTTACCTCAGGGTACAAGAGGGAACAACTTACCTCAGGGTACAAGAGGGAACAACTTGCCTCAGGATACAAGAGGGAAGACCTTGCCTCAGGGTACAAGAGGGAACAACTTGCCTCAGGGTACAAGAGGGAACAACTTGCCTCGGGCAACAAGAGGGAACAACTTACGTACCTAGGGGTGTAGCAGGATCGTATACGTCCAGAAGGTACTGGCTCCAGATGTCTCTCCTGCTGTATTTAACCTTTAACTTGGCTACAGCCTCGTGAAAGTCACTCATTGTTTCTGTCAACAAGAACATTATCAAGAACATTGTTTCTCACAACATATCTACTTACATGGGGGGAGTTTCAAGGGTCAATGGTCCCATCTGTCACCAGGGCTCGAGGCAGATCAGGGTCTGATCAACTAGGCTGTTACTGCTGGCTGTACATAAACTGACGTATGATCCAGCGCTCGGCTGGTCAGGTACTGACTTCAGGTGCCTGTTCAGTGCCTTCTTGAAGACAGCCAGGGATCTATTGGTGATCCCCTTTTGTATGCTGGGAGGCAACTGAACGGTCTTGGACCCCTGACACTTATTGTGTTGTCTCTTGGCATAGTCAAGGCACCCCTGCTTTTCGCTGGAGGGGATGTTGCACTGCCTGCCGAGTCTTTTGCCTTTGTAGGGAGTGATTTCTGTGAGTAAATTTCAGACTAGTTCTTCTAGGATTTTCCAAGTGTGTATTATGATGCATCTTTCTCACCTGCATTCCAAGGAGTACAGGTCAAGGGATTTCAATCATTCCCAGCAACTGAGGTACTTTATTGCACTTATATTTCTATTGAAAGCTCTCTGTATATTCTCCAGGTCTGCAGTTTCACCTGCTTTGAAAGGCGTCGTTAGTGTACAGCAATATTCCAGCTTAGACAGAACAAGTCACTTTAAAGAGAATCATCACTGGCTTGGCATCCCTAGTTTTGAAGGTCTTTATTATACATTCTGTCATTATCCATGGTGGGAGATGGCCGACTTGTTGAAAAAAAAAAAAAAGTGATAATTACATTGTTTTAAGAACCTAAGACATTCTTACTTTCCAAGTCCTTCACACCAGTTTTTCACTCTATTGTGTTGTTAGAATTTGCTTTATACTCCACTTAAGCTTTTAACTTCCCCCGTTTTCCACAGCAACGTAACTGAAATTTGTCGTCACTGAATGTATACATGCTGTTATCTGTGACTCACTGGAAGACTTGGTTTATATCTACTTGGAGATGACGCTGACTTGCAAATTTTAGTATCTTTAGCAAAGGTAGACACAGTACTATCGTTTACATATCAGTCTATGTCAGATATGAGGATGAGGAACAGGATGGAAGCAAGTACTGTATCTTGTGGAACCAATCTTTTCACTGTAGCATTACTCATCGTGTTCTATTTGTTAGGAAGTTAAAGATCCAGCTACCCACTTTTCCTGTTATTCCTTTATCACACATTTTGTGTGCTATTACCACATGATCACACTTCTTGACTCTTTCTCACTGACTTTCTAGTAATGCTTCATCTTCCTCTCAGAATAACTTTCATTACTGGTTCAGCTTCTCACAGACTTCTTGTTCATTTCTGTGTTTTCCTACTTCCTTCTTTAACCCCATTACCTGCTCCTTTACTATTGTCTTCCTCCACATGTGGCAGTATAGCAACTGTGGTTCACACGTGGCAGTATAACGACTGTGGTTCACACATGGCAGTATAACAACTGTGGTTCACACATGGCAGTGCAACAACTGTGGTTCACACATAATGGTATAACAACTGTGGTCCACACTTGGCAGTATAACAACTGCAATTTGCACATGGCAGTATAACAACTGTGGTTCACACATGGCAGTTTAACAACTGTGGTTCACACATGGCAGTTTAACAACTGTGGTTCACACATGGCAGTTTAACAACTGTGGTTCACACATGGCAGTATAACAACTGTGGTTCACACATGGCAGTGTAACAACTGTGGTTCACACATAATGTTATAACAACTGTGGTCCACACTTGGCAGTATAACAACTGTGATTCACACATGGCAGTATAACAACTGTGGTTCACACATGGTAGTTTAACAACTGTGGTTCACACATGGCAGTATAACAACTGTGATTCACACATGGCAGTATAACAACTGTGGTTCACATGTGGCAGTATAACAACTGTGGTTCACATGTGGCAGTATAACAACTGTGGTTCACACATAACTGTATAACAACTGTGGTTCACACATGGCAGTATAACAACTGTGGTTCATCAGACTGTCAGTGCTGTCATTCTCAAGTTGTAGCTCAGTCTCTTCTTACCTTTGTGAATTTGTTTCTTGCTTTTCTGCTCACCTCTCCATCTTCCTCTGATCTTTACTTTCTATAATTTCTGCATGTTCTTGTACTCTCAGTTATTGTCTCTATGTATATCTGGGTGAACCCTGGGCTCTGGTATTGCCATTCCTCCTCCTGCTTCTGGGTATCAATTTCTTCTTTATTTCCTGCCAATTTCTTCTTTATTTCCATTCATTATGTTTTCCTTGCAGTTCCTTGTCACAGTTTAGTCAGCTACTGTTTCATGCCTGTATAATCTCATCTTCCGATGTTTCCATTCCTTCTTGTGATGTATTTCTCTCCAAGTTAACTTCTAAAAGGTATTCAACACTCAAAATAAATACCTAAACTCAGTACCTGACCAGCCGGGCTGTGGTTTGTACGCTGGATAGCATGTGGCCAACAGTAACAGCGTGGTTGATCAGGCCCTGATCCACCACGAGGCCTGGTTATGGCCAGGGCCATGGGGGTGTTGACTCCTGAAACAACCTTCAGGTAGGTAGGTATAATAATACTATTACTAATAATAAAAATAATAATAATAATACATGTATTAACAATAATATTTTATTTTAAAGGTAGTAGGTTGGTAGACAGCAACCACCCAGGGAGGTACTACCGTCCTGTGGTAGTAGGCTGGTAGACAGCAACCACCCAGGGAGGTACTACCACCCTGTGGTAGTAGGTTGGTAGACAGCAACCACCCAGGGAGGTACTACCGTCTGGGTAGAGGTGTAGACAGCAACACCAGGAGGTACTACACCTGTGGTAGTAGGCTGGTAGACAGCAACCACCCAGGGAGGTACTACCGTCCTGCCAAGTGAGTGTAAAATGAAAGCCTGTCATTATTTTACATGATGGTACGATTGCTGGTGTCCTTTTTTCTGTTTCATAAACATGCAAAATTTCAGGTACGTCTTGCTACTTCTACTTACACTTATGTCACACTACACGTACATGTACAAGCATATATATATACACACCCCTCTGGGTTTTCTTCTAGTTCTTGTTTATTTCCTCTTACCTCCATGGGAAAGTGGAACAGAATTCTTCCTCTGTAAGCCATGCGTGTTGTAAGAGGCGACTAAAATGCTGGGAGCAAGGGGCTAGTAACCCCTTCTCCTGTGTATATTACTAAATGTAAAAGGAGAAACTTTTGTTTTTACTTTTGGGCCACCCTGCCTCAGTGGGATACGGCCGGTGTTGAAAGAAAGAAGACATAAATAACAAAAAAAAAGGCACAATACCGTGACTGGAACAATACACAAATAACCCGCACATAGAAGAGAGGAGCTTACGATGACACTTCGGTCCGACCTGGACCGAGTTCTGAGAAAGTTAATGAGAAGAGCCAAGCAACAAAGAAAATGGTTAGGATCACCATGGAGGTGAAAAAAGAGATTGTTGTAAAGTATGAAGCATATCCGGAACTTGGCTGTTGCATACTCTATGCCAAGAACAATGGTATCTACAATTGTAAAAAACATTTATGTCATTAAATAGGCTAACATTGCGAAGGGGGTGAAATCGATTACCAAACAAAGATCAGGGACATTAGAGCATGTTGAAAAATTGCTTTTGATCTGGATAACAGAAAAACAGTGCTGGTGATAGCGTATCAGAGGCAATGATTTGCCAAAAAGCAAAACTGATGCATGTCAATCTTTTGAAAAACAAGGCAGGAACGAGCCGAGAAAGTGAAGTGTTTAAAGCCAGCCATGGCTGGTTTGATAATTTTAAGAAGAGGACTGGCATTCACAGTGTTGTGAGGCATGGAGAGGGAGCCAATGCCGATAAAGATGCCGCCAATGATTTTGTTACAGAGTCTGGGGAATTTGTGGAAGCTAAGGGTTTTGTTCCCCCCAAAATTTTTAATTGTGACAAAACAGGCTTGTTTTGGAAGAAAATTCCTAACAGGACCTATATTACACAAGAGGAGAAGGCATTACCAGGACACAGCCACTGAAGGATAGGTTAACTTTTGTTCTGTGCCAATGCAAGTGGGGATTGCAAACTGAAGCCTCTACTGATTTACCACTCTGAAAACCCGAGGGCTTTTGAAAAAACATAAAGTGCAGAAAACTAAGTTACCTGTGATTTTTTTTTTATTTTTTATTAACACACTGGCCGATTCCCACCAAGGCAAAGTGGCCCGAAAAAGAAAAACTTTCACCATCATTCACTCCATCACTGTCTTGCCAGTTTTTAAACTGCAACATTAACACCCCTCCTTCAGAATGCAGGCACTGTACTTCCCATCTCCAGGACTCAAGTCCGGCCTACCAGTTTCCCTGAACCCCTTCATAAATGTTACTTTGCTAACACTGCAACAGCACAAATATTAAAAACCATTTGTCTCCATTCACTCCTATCAAACACGCTCATGCATGCCCGCTGGAAGTCCAAGCCCCTCGCACACAAAACCTCCTTTACTCACTCCCTCCAACCTTTCCTAGGTCGACCCCTACCTCGCCTTCCTTCCGCTACAGACTGATACACTCTTGAAGTCATTCTGTTTCGCTTCATTCTCTCTACATGTCCGAACCACCTCAACAACCCTTCCTCAGCCCTCTGGACAACAGTTTTGGCAATCCCGCACCTCCTCCTAACTTCCAAACTACGAATTCTCTGCATTATATTCACACCACACATTGCCCTCAGACATGACATCTCCGCTGCCTTCAGTCTTCTCCTCGCTGCAACATTCATCACCCATGCTTCACACCCATATAAGAGCATTGGTAAAACTATGCTCTCATACATTCCCCTCTTTGTCTCCAAGGACAAAGTTCTTTGTCTCCACAGACTCCTAAGTGTACCACTCACCCTTTTCCCCTCATCAATTCTATGATTCACCTCATCTTTCATAGATCCATCCGCTGACATGTCCACTCCCAAATATCTGAATACATTCACCTCCTCCATACTCTTTCCCTCCA